ACACAAACTGGAGAACCCAAATGCACGACCCAGAGACAGTCTTGAATGTAGCAAAACATTTCTTTTAATTTCAAGCAAACAGAAAATCCCTCAGTCTTAAAGAGTAGGTACTGGATTAAACAAAAAGCGCTCACAAGGAGGAAAAACAAGCGTAACAAAAAGAGAATTTAAGATCAACTTAAGTCTGTAAAAAATAACAAAACCTGACTAGACTGGAAATGATCCTCTCTTGGCTGAAGCCTGGCACGACCATCCATGGAAACAAACAAGTCGAACTGACACAGGACAGGGGAAGACAGGACTATTTAAACAAGAGGTGAGTGGGAACAGGTGGAAACAATCAGGGGCGGGGCAGACACTGGGCGTTTCTCAATGTCGAGTATACTGTACCTGCTGCAGAGCCACTATTTCCAGTATACTACGTCATAGAGTGGCGCAGAATGCTGGGCATTTAACATGCATTTAAACGGTCCTTCGGCGCCACTCGATGACGTAGTATACTTGAAATAGTGGCTCTGCAGCATGTGTACTCGACATTGAGAAACGGCCACTAACGATGGCGGGAAAACACACAAAGGGAGGAAGTAACAGGGCCTGAAATGAGACAAGAGGTAAGTACAAAATAAAACAGGAAATGGAAAACGAGACATGACATGAAACACGGGATTCGACCAGAGATATATGAAATAAAATGACAACAGACATGACATGACGTGAAATAACATGAAAACCTGACTAGACTTGGAATGACAGACATGATACATAAACAAAACTAACAAATTTGACGAGACACAACACCAACTACTATAAGGTCGACTAATGCTAATATTTTCTCGTCCTCTCAGCTCTTTAAGTTCATCAACTTCAACAAGACCATGAGCCAGCTGTCGGGCACCATGTCTCGCTGTGCCAAGGACCTGGTGGGCTTCGCCATCATGTTCTTCATCATCTTCCTGGCCTACGCTCAGCTGGCATACCTGGTGTTTGGAACACAAGTCAACGATTTCAGCACTTTCCAGGCCAGCATGTATGTCTTTCAAAGCACAGTGCTCACATGTAGCAGTACCTCTCATGTTCCCTGATGAATACATGTGTTGTTTCTGTTTTTGTAGATTTACTCAGTTCCGCATCATCCTGAGGGACTTTGAGTTCTCAGAAATAGAGGAGTCGAACCCCGTGCTCGGACCGATCTACTTTACAACCTTTGTCTTCTTCATTGTCTTTATTCTCATGGTGAGTAGAGTGTCCTGTGGTTGTTTACATACAGTACTCCCCCTCCCTGACACAATAACACCTTTCCCATTCTCTCTCCATACAGAACATGTTCCTGGCCATCATCAATGACACCTACTCTGAGGTGAAGGCCGACATGTCCCAGCAGAGGTCTGAGATGGAAATGACAGATCTCATTAAGAAGGTATTGAGCTACGTGGAATATTCATTTTGTCCGGTCAGATTCAATCCATTGAATCAACAGAAGCCACCACCACGGCAATAAGATCCAGAGCCCACTCCAAATATTGCAGTTTCTGGGGTCTGGTTGTTTCTTCTTACCGATACAGATATTGGAAAACATGTAATAGAAAAGATATTAGAACAAATAAAGAATATTAGGAAAATGTCAGTGTTTTTTCCCGGGAAAAGTGGCAGTGGAGTTGTTTTCTCCAACCCTTAGATGCATAAGTGGGTCTTTTTTGACCCGGTGAGGAGGTTTTCTTAGAGTATTTTATCATTTTATATTCCAGCTATTCATCAAAAAACATGTTTTGGATATCATGCCATTAAAAATTTAAATTTAAATTTTAAGAAATTGTAGTTTTTGTATTACTACCCCAAGCTTCCATAAGTGGGTCAAAAATGACCCGCATGCATTTTCTATGGCATCCTCTGGGAACCTTTGATTCTTATCACCTGTTGCTGTCAGGAATACATTCACTGTAGACCACACAGACTACATCACAAGTGACACCTCTCAGGAAGATTATGGTACACAGCCAGATCTGATACCTGTCAGTATAATAATAATAATAATAATATTAATAATAATAATAATAATAATACATTATATTTTTATAGGGCTTTTCAAGGACTCAA